CACTGCAATAAAGATGGGAATGCAATCAGGATGTGATTTTTAGGTCTACTTCCTTAACTTTTCTTGAACTCAGAACACTAAAAACTGTTTTATAAATGTAACAGATGCATCTCAGTGTCAAATACGGAAACTTTATATTGGAATTTTCCCGATGAGAAGATTTACAGTGGCTTTTGTCACAGGCCGGAAGGGTCATGTGGAACTAACCTAGTCCAACCCTCCTGCTCAAAGCAATGTCAGCTAGAGCAGGGTACTGAGGACCATGTCCAGCTGAGTTCTGAGTATCTCCAAGGATGGTGAATCCACAACCTCTCAGGGCACCCGTTCCAATATTCTACCAACCTTCCAGCAAAAACCAGGTTTTAGAAATGTTTAAATCAAATTTTCAGTATTTCAATTTGTGCCTGCTGTCCTATCACTGGATACCACTGGGAATAGGCTGGCTTTACACTATCCCATCAGGTATTTTTTATACACATTGATAAGTTTACCTCCCAAGCCTTCTCTTCTCCTAGCTAAACAACCCCAGTTCTGTCAGCCTCTCCTTGTATGTCAGATGTTGCATGCTCTTAATCATCTTCATGGCCACCGATGAGACCTGCTGCGGTATGTCCCTTTCTCTTTCCTACTAGGGTGCCCAGAACTGGACACAGTATATGGCTTCAACAGCACTGAGTCGAAGGGAAGGATCAACTCCCTCAACCTGTTGCCAACACTTCCTAATGAAGCGCAGGAGGCTGTTGGCACTCTTTGCCACAAGGGCACAGCGCTGGCTCGTGTTCGACCTGGTGTTCACCAGAACACCCCAGGCCCTTTTCCACAAAGCTGCTTTCCAGGTGGTTGGCCTCCAGCCTGTACGGGTTTATTCCTCCTTAGATTCAGGATGTTGCAACACCAATCTGAACAACAGAGGACAACCACTTTCAAAGCCATGTTCACACAGATGTACATTGCCATGCACCCCGGGGCTCCTCACACAGTTTCATTTCATGCAAAAAAAAGCCACTGTCAACATATATATCAGACTGTCGCAGAGACACTGCCAGTTCTGGTTTCAGCGTGCCAAGTACGCACAGAAGTACTTGCATTATGTAAGCATATCAAGTGCCTGAGAATATGAAAGGGACATTTACAAAAGTGCGTACACAGTTGTGCAGACCGGTATCTTAAAATACAGTTCTGAGTTATCTTTCTATTTATATCCCAGACTTAGTGTACTTCACCTATAAAGCTGGCTCTGTTTGATGATGTCTAAAATATCAGCAGCCTTTACCATCCCATAAAGCAGACCAAAACAGAGGTTTGCACTTTTTTTCCCCATGTTCCTATAGTTACAAGTATTTTTCCTTTCTTTTCTTTTGGAAAAAAAAGTCACCCTGACTCATTTTCTTGCTGCTTTATTTTCTCCAGTTTTGACCACAACATCTGGTACTGCAAGACTGCACAATATAATTAATTTGAGATATTTAATTTCTGATAAATTAATAGAGCAGAAAATGTAATGAAAGGGCCAAACCTTACTCACTTTCTTCATTAGACAGTTCATTAAAAATCACTAAGAATTTTTTGTACAAGTGTGATAAGTAGGAATTAACCCAAAGTCCTGAGAAAACCAACACTGAAAGAAGAGTTCACTTTGACTTGCATTCCTAAAAGATCATCAACTAGGATATTGAAATTTAAATTATTTTTATTTCTAATCTTTATTGCCTGAAAGCCATGATAGTGTTGGTAAACTCAGGCACGCATCCTCTTTTTGATAAAATTTCACCTGTTTCTACAAGAAAAATACACAAAAGAGTTACGAAGATGGATGTAACAGCTATGAGGCCCTATTAAGTTGGAGACTGAATTTGAAGTTTCCTTTCTCAATAATCTTTTTTTGTTTTGGTTTTTTTTTTTTTGTAAACTACTCTGTCACATTTTTAATCACATCACAGTCTAAAGACGTCATTATTCATCCTCAGCATTTTCTGAGTAAAAGACCTTTCTATTTAGACAAATCCTGAAATTTCCTGTGAGAACACATATTTGTCAGACACAAATTGTTCAGAGGCAGTCTGTGGCTCAGGAAACCCCTACACTACTGAATGCTGGGTAGTGGCAAGTATCGTTCTATGCACAGTCTGGTTTTTATATACTTTTTTGTGAACGATCTGCTACAGGCAGCTGTCAGACTCGAGCTAGATGGGAAGATATTGTTTAACCCAGTGCAGACTTCATAAGGTTTTATGTTTCCTTGATGCTTCCTTACCTTTGTCGCCACCTCCTTTGGGTTTTTTTCTCTCAGTTTTTAAAATATAAGTGTGGCTTTCCCTTCTTACATCTCCCTTGCTGAATCTCCTTTTGTTGGCATATCAGTGTACGCTTTTTCTACAGCTACACCTGCAATCTTCTCTTCTTGTTCATATTACACCACTGTCCTACTCTGATGTCCACCTACTATTCCAGAACTGATATGCCCATGATCAAAGTTTTTTCCTCCTCATGACTTCAATCCCGTTCAGTTCCTAATGCGTTATCTCCACCTCAGAATTTCTTTCCCACAATTCCCAAATTTTCATCCAGAGCTGCCTTTCTCAGCACTAGTGGTGTTTGTTCTTGTTTCTTGTTTCTTCCCTTCCAAGTCTTTGCACCTTTCCTCTTTGTTACCTTCCCTAGTCTTGCAGAAGAGGTGAGTTAGGAAGGGAAACAGGTGCCTTTTCTAGCTCCCTCCATCAGTAGTGCATTTAAGAGTCTCAAATCCTGGTGTATTCAAACAAGAAGCATAAAATGAAGCTGTCTGCTAATTTTCCGAAGAAGACATCTGCAGAAACAAGATTAATGAACCTAATGTTGTCCTAGACAGTGATGACTACTTCTGAAAGAAAGAGTGCCCTGCAACAGCTCAGGTCACTTGGAGACTAAGTGCATATTACTGATGACCTTAACTAATAGAATGCTGGTATGTAATGAAATTTTGTAGTCTAGTAACATAATTAGCTAATTGCTATTATTCTCTCGGGGTGGGAAAGAAATAGGCTTTCTTTAATAAGCTTTGGAAAACAGAATTGGTTGTGTAACTCCAAAGTTTGCACAGTGCAGTACTGTGCATTTTGAACTAAAGCAGTGAATTAAAAGAGCCTTTGTCCCATCTGCTGACAACCAGTGGTTTCTGCGCAATACGCTACCCTCCTGACTATTTAATAATGAGGATGATTTAATACATTCCTGTCCCTAAGTATTTTTATTCCTGATACTTTTTCTTCCTACCAAATTAGGTTCCCGTTCCAGATCCTCTGCCATATGCACTACATCACTCTTTCTGCTGAATTCAAAACTGAACCTCTAAGACTATTTATTACTCCTCTCCTTCTATTTCTTTTCTACACTGAATCCTTGCTGCACCTTCATCTCCCATCTTTCCTCACAGATATACCAGACAAGTTAAGTTGGCTCATATGGCTTTCCTCAGCCGTAGGAGGGTGGGGATGTGAAACACATCTTGTAAACTGTCTGTCAAACCAAACAAGTAATTTCCAGAGGGTTTCTAACACCCATCAGTTGTTATGAATATCACATTACTATCATAGTTATTTAAAACAGTTTTAGATTAGCTAAATGTCAGTCTTGCAGCAACTGAACAACCTTCAGGACATCTTTGTGTATATGACAGACTCCCAACTGTGAAATGATTACTTAAAAAACCCTCCATACTTCTAAATGAGCACGTATAGATTGTTTCCTTTATGACAAAAAAAAAAAAAGGATAAAAAAATCCAAGTTAGGTTCTGCTATTCAGATGTACTATTTTCATTTGTGTTAGTCTCTCTTTTGAGTCTGAAAGTGGACAAGATCATTTTCTCTACTGTTTGCTTCAACATTTTCAGTGCACAGGTTAAAAAGAACTGTATGTTTTGGTTGGTTGGTTGGTTTTTCTTAAATTCTCACAGACTTTAGTAACTTAAGAGCACATATTTTGTTTGAGGAACAAATCAGAGGTCACAATATCAACTCAAGAGTCTTTGCACAGAATCACATCTGAAAATGTTGACAGTTCTGAAATGACCATCCAGCGTTGTCTTCTGTTTACTTTGTTAGCGTGGTCTTATATATAAACCTGTGGCAGAATTCTCATATAGATTAAAGTGATGAAAGAACTTCAACAGGGATTAGGCAGAGCTGCAAAGAAAGTTTTTTTTCCCACAGTACACAATGGTTTACAGCGGATAAGGCAAGGGCAGAGAGTTCTGACAAAGTGCAGTCAGAGAGACACAGCTCAGGAGGTACATGTGCCTGTCACCACACTGTGAAGAACACACAAATAGACTCTGTGTAAGCAGCAAGAATTCCCATTTTGTAAGACACAGCTGCTTATGCTGGTTTATCTTGTACTGAGGCATAGTCTCAAGTATGTGATGATATATTCTGTCACCATGGAAAGGAACATATATAATGTAATATCAAAGAGTAAATGAAAACACTACATGCTGGCATATTCATTTCAACATGAATAAGGATTTAAAAACATGCAGAATGTAAACACAAGTTTTCACAATAGTATATGTACTCTCCCCCCCCCTTACATAATTTTCACCTAATTATTTTTTCATCTAATTTTTTTAAGTCTTTAGTTGAGCTAAGCCAGTTGTCTCTAACTATTCAATTAGGGATACCCAATGAAGGACTGGGAAGAAAGCTACCGCTGTTTCACCCTCGAAAGGCAAGGATTCTCCCTTGGTCTTTTTAAGTCGTCTAGTGATATGGCGTAAAATCCTGTTCATCTTACATAAAAGCATCCAGAGATATCAGCAGGATACCATCTTGGTAAGGGGACCAGGATTTGACCCAAAATTTCACTATCATAAGAATATGTGCATTCTGTAGAATTTGTGGTCATACATCTCTATGCCTAAAACAGAAACATGAGTTAACGCTTTTGCTGAAAGTTTCCATAATGAAGTACTTAGCAAAGACATGCATATGAGTACAGCTTTAATTAAACGTAAGTAGACTCCTACCCAGAAATTGCTGCTAGTTTTTGATGAGCCTGATAGGCCATCTCACATCCTTGGGTTCGAGTTTTGTGCATTTCCACATGCAGAGATGAACAGGTGACTGAGACATCCCCAATGGAAATGACCAGCTCCCGGTACAGAGCCACCTGGGTATTGAACTCCTGGACGAGCTGAAAAACAAAGAGGGTTCACTTACGTGAGATGTTTAACTACACTGATAAAAACAACTGAGTTTTTAAAAAACACACCTAATTCCACGGCATACAGGATCAAGTGCCCAAGATTTAGTCAATGACTACAGCCTCTGTGGCAGCTGCCTCTTCTGTGAGCTATAGATGTTCATTTGCAGGGAAGTAGTGTTTCTGCTTTTAATCTCTGAAAGTGTTTGAGTTATTAGTCTTAAATATTAAGCAGACAAAAAAAACCCCAGCTGTACTACTGGTAGCATGAGGTTATTTTTCGCTATCATAAAGGACAAAAATATCTCCAGAAATGATTGCCTTTGCTCCTCCTGCTTCCTGATTAACAGCACATTTAGGGATTGGAATGTAGCATTTGCTTTGACACTGGCTATTTTGCTAATTTATTTTGTAATGATTTCTGTTCTGTCACTGGCCTCTAACCCAGATTTCAGACTTAAAACTGATCTGAAGTTATTGGCTGAGAACATGTACCACATAGGTACTTTCCAGTTAGGATTCTAGAAAGCACTTTTTTCAATGTGTGTGTGTGGGAAACAAACAAAGTAGTAAATAAACACTTCAACCTTTACAGAAATCCAATATCCAGCAGATACACATGGATGCTATTGGATAAACAGGTAACTTTTGCAGCGATGGAAAGATCATTACAGTTTAGTTCCACTGATCACGCATGTGGGATTATATTTTAAGGAAACGAAGCATTTTCTGTCTTTTGAACGAAAGCACATCAGACCATTTGCTTCACATGGTGGCGGGGGTGGAAGGCAGGGAGCAATAGAACAGAGTATTTATTTATCTGTGTTTTGCTAATTTGACCTCAATTTCCAAACTACATATAAACAGACAAGAGTAACTGCTCATTATTCTGCAGCCATCATCACCACCAGGAGTTCAACATATCCCAACATACAAGCATGCTAAAAAACTGGATTCTACCATATCTGTCAAATTTTAAAGTCAAGCCCTCGAATTCTCATACTCAGAAAAGAAATGAATCGCTTCTCCTGCAGTATTACATTCTGCCTCTCCGTGCACTCCACTGTAATTACTGTGGATAACCGAGAACTAGTATGGGGAACCATTTTTTGGCCATGCTTTCTTAAATTTCATCGTAAGAGTAGCAAACAGGTTTCTCTGCTTCTGGAGTAGAAGAACAATCCAAGTACGTTACAGTCCATGTGCACCCACCCACCGCCAAAGCCCAAACAAAACCAAAAGCACACACTAAACAAAGCCCCAGGCACAGTATTTGCTAAACCTGGCTTCAACGTTCTCATCCTGTAGCTTAAGACACGGCATGGAGAGGAAAAAAAAAAAAAAGATTGTACTACGCTGTGTGATAGCGTAATTACTGTGCATGAAGAAAAAGAGAAAAGCGTCTCATCCTGCAATAGGTAACTGTTTGCACCAGACACATTTTGCCAGTGCTCACCTGACATCCCCTGTCTAAACAGAGGACATGCTCAGCCACCTCCATTGGCAAGGAAAACAAAACCACACTGATACTGCAGCATCGAGACAGAGAACAAGAAAAAAACCCACCGGTTTTATCTTCTGAATCTTACTGCATCTTGACAACCCATCTGTAAAGCATATTTTATTCCTAATCAGTGAATTCCACAAAGCTAGCACTTCTGTTTAACGAACCACATTATGCTGTCAGGAATGAGAAAAAAAGGCAGGACCCAGTGGGATCCACTTGTTGGGTATATTTATAGAGCTACTTTGGCAGCTTTTGTTCCTCAGTGCACTGGGAGTTGCTCCCGATTTTGAAGTATCAGAGTGGATATCTGCCAGCGCAATTTGCAGTTTTAGAGGAAACAAACTGCCAGAATCCAAGCAGAACAGAACTAGCAGGTACATTTCCAATGCTACTGGGCTGAGCTTTAGCAAGATCCAGATTTTTCAAGTAAAGTGGCAGCAACTTCATTTGTTTTCTATTTCTGTCATTGGTTAGCGGAGCAATTTTGAGGCCCAGTGTCCAGCTGACTGTAGCTCAAGGAGTCAGATATGGGGTACATGGTGCTGGTTTGGAGGCAAGTGTCAGGATCCAAACATTTTGAACATGAATGGAGAGAAATGTCATTACCATACTGTGACAGTCCAAAAATAACACGGATGCTTGATATGAGGTTTTACAATTGCAACCAGCTAACTCTGGGGAGGCTGGAAACAGGCACCACGTATGAATTCCAGGGCCTCAAATTCTGAGTCCCGTTTTGGAAGGATTTTGGGGCTGGAGGGTGGCAGCTGCACAAGACAGCAAGCAGAGAGTGCAGTGATGCAGTGGGGGCAACTATTCACCGACTCGTGCTTCAGTGAGCGCAAGTCCGGGGACAGATTTGGCCAGATCTAGCAAAAAAAAAAAAAACAAAACCCAAAACAAACCACCAACTTCAGCGCCTCGGCGCCG